CACACCCCAGCCCATGCCACAAGCACACACACAGGTGAGCGCACATGCAGCCCTGCCACAACTAAGAGGGCTAGGGGAGTAACCCGGTTCGAAAAAGAATTCTCATGAGTGGCCAGAGTCACCCAAGCACACGAAGGGCAATCAGAATACAACACGGGAATACAAAATCAACCTACTTAGTAAAAATGGATATCAGCAAACAAAAAGCTCCTGAAATAATATTGGGAGTGTCAGAATTATAGTAATAAAAAATTCATACCACTGGATAACGCCGATTCCTTTCTGCTCTTCACCCATGAATTTTGAGTACTCATTTACTCTCTCACAGAAATTTTGGCCCGTCATATTATCAAGTGCAATGTCAATGTCAGCAGAGCCTTTCCCCAATAGCTGCCAAGAATATGCCAAAGCAACAGTTAAGTCCCAACACTACCAAACCATCATTCCATAAAATATAAGCAGTGTTAATTCTTTCTTTCTTGCAAAAAGATGGAAGTTCATGGTATGATCCTAGTCCTCCAGAATCTCCAGAGATTTCTAGTCAGCTCATAGCAAGCATCATGCAATTGTTTAATACAAAATGCAACATTCAAATAGCACAGCCCAATATAACAATCCAAAATGAACATGTCACTTCTGCACTTCTTTACTCTTTATGAGAAAACAGTCAGTTATCCTAGTTTAATTGCCCATATTTAGCTTCACCCCACCCCCCAAATTTTCCTCCCACTAGCTCATATTTGCTCTTGGATGGGCAAGTCTCAAGAAAAATAGGGAGCAGCCGCAGTCTTCCCACTCGACCACCTCCTTCCTGCCCAACACCGACATCGGTCATCCCCGGTCCCCATCCCAGTCGCACCCTCGCCGGTGCCGAAGACCCACCGCCAGCAGCCAATTCCAAGCCGCAAGCTCTGAAACGCCGGCGGCAAGGGAAGCCATCCACCCCCACTGGTCGTTCGGATGGACAAAAAAAAAAGCAAAAACCACAAAGAAGAATGGAGTTGTTGGAGCATACAAGAGCTCATGGCGATGGTAGAGGTGAAGAGGGCATTGGCGGCTGAAAGGAAGGAGGAGAAGATAAGTTGTTTCTACGAGATAAAGATGATGGAGGAGGGGAGGTGGAAGGCAAAGGCGGTGGCTGAGGAGAGAAAGGCTCGATCGGAGGGGAAAAAGGCTTGAAACTGAGGAGCAAAGGCTTGCACCGGAGGTCGAGGGAAAAAAAGAAGAAGATGAAGAGTGAGGAGCAAGGCTAGCATTGGAGGCCGAGGAAGACAAGAACAAGAGGGTGGTCGAGGAGCTTGCTATAATGTTCATGGATCCAAGCAAGATGGGCGACAGGACGAGATAATACTGGGAGTTAACTCGTGGGGACATCTTGGCTAAGTCATTTGGTGGTGGTGGCAGCAATGGTGGAGGCGGCAACAATGGTGGTGCCGGCGGGCTGGCGCAAGTGCATGAGCCCCTTATGAGCTATGATTACTTTTGATCCACCATGTGTTTGGTGGTTTTTTGGAATGAACTATTCCTTTTGGCACAAATTATGGTAATGTTTTAGTTGTTTGTTGGATCAGATTAAGTTTATTTATGCTCGTAGTAGAATTATGATGTGGTCTGTTTGAATTTTTTTATGTTTGTATAGAAATGCGGTGCATTTATTTGGATTGTTTGCACAAACGTTTGGATAAATTGACAAAAAAATGTGTGTAGGGGGGAAGGGGATTAAGTTTTGGGATGGGTTAATTGACCAAATGTTTAATTCCCTAAAAAGGGAAATTAACGGATGGGGAATTAAGATATGGGGATGGGGTAGAGCCGTAGAGTTGCCCTAATCTACATCATTCAACAATCTCTTCACAAACAAATTCTGATACGCAGGAAAACAATGCGACATGAATATTGAAGATTTCCCAACATATCGTGCGAGCGACAAGAAGCCACGCCATAAACCCTACATATTAAACTCATTAGGCTTTTCAATTAAGCTCACCTTGTCCCGGACCCATCCCCCGGCGACGCGGAGCTGGGTGCCGAGTCCGAAGTGGCGGACGACGTCCAGCAGCCTAGCGAAGATCCGCTCCTCCTCCTCCGTCAGCTCCACGCTCTCCCTAACCTCCACGGTCTGCTGCTGCGTCCCAGCAGCCATGCCGGAGATACTGGTGAAGGCGCGGATAGGGATACTGAAGAAACTAGAGGCCCTCTGTGGGACGCCGGTGGCAGTCGTTCGAAAGGGCGGAGGCCTTGGGGTCTGGTGGCGATGGAGAGGGGAAAGGAGGCGTAGGCTGCCGCGAGGTGGGAGGAGGAGGCGGAGAGACATGCGGCGGGTTCGCTACCCCGGAAGGCATTCGTAGTTTCGTGGCCTCCTGCGCCGCCCGTTCGGCTGCACTACCACGGCCAGGACCTCGAAGCAGCCGTTTGATAAGATGCAAGACACATCAACAGTCCTGATTTGCCGAAGGCAAAACACGAACAGGAAAACCAAAAAAAAATTTGTTTTAACTAGACTAGTAATTCTGTCCAGTTTTGACACTAATATTGTTTCAAGGTTATAATCGTAATTCCAATGCGTCTTAGCAAGGAATTTATGGTCTGGACTGGGCCTAACTAACCGGATCAATCATGATGTGCAAGTTGATTGGTCAGGTTCAGCCATACTGGAGTTTCTGCTGGTAGAATACGACGCGCCATTCCAAATCATGCCCAGAATAAATTGCAAGGAGATTATTGCTACTGGCTGTTGGTATATCTGGTGATTACGTCGACAACATACTCACCATGACTCTTGCCCACCATCTTCTCGATGGACTAGTTCAGTTCTTGGACTAGTTGGGAATCATGTCAATTCAGTTAGTCGCAAGACGGGGAACATTATACATAAATGGACGAAGCCAGACCCAAGATTTATCAAACTCGATGTCGATGCATCATTTCATGCAGAGGAAGGCTCAGGTGCGACTGCTGCTGTTATTCGGGATGATAGAGGCCGATTTCTGGCGGCACAATGTAAATTCATACAGTATGCAGCAGATGTGGTGACCATCGAAGCTATGGCAATGCGAGATGGCTTAAACATGGTGAATGCGATGGGGTTCAACTCTAGTTGAAGCGGAGTCCGATTCTCTGAACGTGGTGAATTATTGTCAAGGCCAAGAGAAATGGTGGGATGCGGCAGCAACGTTTTTTGCGGAGTGCATAGACTCGGCTCCATTAGTAGGAAAGGTCATCTTTAAGCATATTTTTGTGATGCAAATTGTGTCGCTCATGAGCTATCAAAATTCAGCTTTTGTAATAAGTCCGATAGAAGTTGGTCTGATGAACCCCCGGGTTTCTTAATCAGCCACCTTGTGAACGATGTAATAATTGACTAAGTTAATAAAGCTAGCTATGATGGCCTTTTCCTCCCAAAAAAACGTAATTCAGATTGATTTCAACATTAATTGTGTTTAATATATTTAATATTATTTTTTAAATTATGATTCATGCAATAACATGTTTTGAAATTATTTATGATATGATGGATACATCATTGGAGCAGCGTGAGACGTTGGATATAGCTGATTGAATGACTCAGATCATTTTGGATTCTTGTAGCCTCCTTCATGTGGTCCATTTACCTCTTCTTAGCATCGATATTTGTCGTGGTTTTGTCGTGGCAGATGTCCTCGTGATAGGACTAAGTCTTGAGGTCATCGCAACTCGATGGTCGCTTGAACGGGGTTGAGCGGGAACGAAAGACACGAGTTTACCCAGATTCGGCCCCTCGCGATGGAGGTAAAGACCTACTTCCTGCTCTATTGATATTGCTGAAGACCTCGATTACAAGGATGCGGATTCGCTAACCTAGCTTTCGAGAGATTGCAACTTAGTCTTTTCGACCTGGGGGGTCCCCTTTATATAACAGGTCGAATCCCCAGGTTTACAACAAAGCTCAGGTCGTGATAACAACTCGTATCCTATTCTAATTCTTATTGTCTTGCTTCCCAAGAAAGTACTTCCATATGGCCTTCTGATCGAGTCGGCCCACCTTCTTCAGTATAAGTCGGCCCATGGCCAGGTCACTTCACGGGTCTTCAACCTGTTTCTTGGTTTGTCTCCTTGACCCGTTGAGCAGTACGACCCATAGTGCCTTCAGGCCTCAGCCGGGTCGTATACAGGGCTGGGTCATGGTCAGGGGAAATATCCCCAACATTAGCCCCCCCCCCTCCAGTTTAATTTGGATTCATCCATGTTAAACTTGTCCTGAAAACAAGATGAATAAAAACAAAAAGGTGAACGATTAAGCTCTGGATTTCTCAAACCGGCATCGCACCATCCCTCCATTGCTTCTTATCTCGCTTCTTTATGACACTTCTGGCCGGGTCAAACTCACATGCCAGGTCATGTAGCTTGTTCCACACTTGTCATTCTGTGCCTCCCATACCGTGACATCACTTCACAGATCTCCGGAATCCCCACGTGACATCACAACGAATCTTTGAGTGGGTTTGATAGGTGCAAGAATTGAGGCACTTTTCCATCCGAAATTTATCGCACCGCCTGGGATTTTGCTCCAGCCGTTTCGGTTTCTACCCTCCTTATAAATAGGCCCAAGGACCCCCAGAGTTTACCCTTTACCCTCTGTGCTCCTCGTGCTTCTTCTTCCTCTCGCTCCCGATGCCACTACGCCCTTTCACGCTCGCTGCCTCCGACGACAACTGCAACAACAGAGCCACCGTCGCCGGACCTCCATTGAAGCCGCTGCGGCCGCACTCGCAGAGCTCGAAGCCTTTGAATCTTCCTTTTCGCAAATTTGTAAGTGCTCCTCTCCATTATGGTTCATGCAAAGTTCGTCGGAGTTCGTCATAGTTCATCTTCAGAGATCTAGATTCACTTCAGTAACACACCCAAATCATTTAGCCATCATCACGATATAGTTCGTCTTAACTTAGATCCCCTTTGCTGCATTTGGTAGATCCCACTGCTTCTTCCGTGTGTAGCAATTTTTCCATGGCTAGGTCTTTATTTTTCTTTTCCAAGCATTTCCTAGATCCATAGACATAGCCAAATCTGAGCACATCCTATTTGTGGCTGTTTCGACCCGAATAGCACTATCACTTGTCAAATTTGTGAACTGCACTAGTGTCTTCTGCCGGCTCGTGTTGTTGCTAGCTTGTAGATTCACCATGGTCCGTAGTCGTTTTTTTCACTGTAAAGCTTTGCTTGTTTTGCTAATCACAACCCGGACACTTATTGTTGGGAAACGTAGCAGAATTTTAAAATTTTCTACGCATCACGAAGATCAATCTATGGAGTCATCTAGCAACGAGAGAGAGGGGAGTGCATCTACATACCCTTGTAGATCGCGAGCGGAAGCGTTCAAGAGAACGGGGTTGATGGAGTCGTACTCGTCGTGATTCAAATCACCGATGACCAAGCGCCGAACGGACGACACCTCCGCGTTCAACACACGTACGGTTGGGAGAGACGTCTCCTCCTTCTTAATCCAGCAAGGGAAGAGGAGAGGTTGATGGAGATCCAGCAGCACGACAGCGTGGTGGTGGAAGCAGCGGGATCTCGGTAGGGCTTCGCCAAGCACCAACGATAGGGAGAGGTGTCACGGGGGGAGAGGGGGGCGCCAGGGACTTGGGTGCGGTTGCCCTCCCTCCCCTCCACTATATATAGGGGGCCTGGGGGGCGCCGGCCCCTACAGATCCCATCTAAGGGGAGGGGCGCCGGCATAGGGCTGGCTTGGCCCCCAAGGCAGGTGGAGGCGCCCCCACCCCCTTAGGGTTTCCAACCCTAGGCGCAAGGGAGGTCCAAGGGGGGCGCACCAGCCCATCAGGGGCTGGTTCCCTTCCCACTTCAGCCCATGAGGCCCTCCAGGATAGGTGGCCCCACCCGGTGGACCCCCGGGACCCTTCCGGTGGTCCCGGTACAATACCGATGACCCCCAAAACTTTCCCGGTGGCCGAAACTGGTCTTCCTATATATAAATCTTTACCTCCGGACCACTCCGGAACTCCTCGTGATGTCCAGGATCTCATCCAGGACTCCTAACAACTTTCGGGTTACCGCATACTTATATCTCTACAACCCTAGCGTCACTGAACCTTAAGTGTGTAGACCCTACGGGTTCGGGAACCATGCAGACATGACCGGGACAACTCTCCGGCCAATAGCCAACAGCGGGATTTGTATACCCATGTAGACTCCCACATATTCCACGATGATATCATCGGATGAACCACGATGTCGAGGATTCAATCAATCCCGTATTCAATTCCCTTTGTCAATCGGTACGTTACTTGCCTGAGATTCGATCGTCGGTATCCCAATACCTCGTTCAATCTCGTTACCGGCAAGTCACTTTACTCGTTCTGTAACACATCATCTCGTGACCAACCCTTAGTCACATTGAGCTCATTACGATGATGTTTTAACGAGTGGGCCTAGAGATACCTCTCCGTCATGCGGAGTGACAAATCCCAGTCTCGATTCGTGCCAACCCAACAGACACTTTCGGAGATACCCGTAGTGCACCTTTATAGTCACCCAGTTACGTTGTGACGTTTGGCACACCCAAAGTATTCTTACAGTATCCGGGAGTTGCACAATCTCATGGTCTAAGGAAAAAATACTTGACATTAGAAAAGCTCTAGCAGACGAACTACACGATCTTGTGCTATGCTTAAGATTGGGTCTTATCCATCACATCATTCTTCTAATGATGCGATCCCGTTATCAATGACATCTAATGTCCATAGTCAGGAAACCATGACTATCTGTTGATCAACGAGCTAGTCAACTAGAGGCTTACTAGGGACATGTTGTGGTCTATATATTCACACATGTATTACAATTTCTGGATAACACAATTATATCATGAACAATAGACAATTATCATGAACAAGGAAACATAACAATAACCATTTTATTATTGCCTCTAGGGCATATTTCCAACAGTCTCCCACTTGCACTAGAGTCAATAATCTAGTTACATTGTGATGAATCGAACACCCATAGAGTTCTGGTGTTGATCATGTTTTGCTCGAGGAAGAGGCTTAGTCAACGGATCTGCGACATTCAGGTCCGTATGCACTTTACAAATATCTATGTCTCCATTTTGAACATTTTCACAAATGGAGTTGAAGCGACGCTTGATATGCCTGGTCTTCCTGTGAAACCTGGGCTCCTTGGCAAGGGCAATAGCTCCAATGTTGTCATAGAAGAGAGTCATCGGGCCCGACGCATTGGGAATAACTCCTAGGTCGGTAATGAACTCCTTCACCCAGATTGCTTCTTGTGCTGCCTCCGAGGCTGCCATGTACTCCGCTTCAC